TCATCTTCTCTTTTAAATATAAAGTATCATACACCTCCTCTATGGTGAGAGTATCACGTCCATACAAGATCGTCTCTAAATGAAGAAAACGAAGTGGACAACAAACACAATAGGATTAAGGCCAAATCTTCTTCATCATACTCTACTTCCAAAATTTCCAAATCAGCGACGATTTCTTTAAATACAGACAGGCGATCTTCCAATGATCCTCCTTCTGCCATTTGATGACAGTATAAACGCTGCTTGATGTTCAACTTGCTTGTTAAACTTTTAGTCATGCACAATTGCTCCAACTTCAACCATAAAGAAGCTGCTAAATTCTCTGTCAAAACATCCTGAAAAATAATATTTGATAGATGAAGATGAATGTGAGAAACTGCCTTCTTATCCTTCCGTAATTTTTCCTTCGCGGTCAAAGTTGCTAACATCTTGTAAATTCCCAACAACGCATCATCTAAATCCTGTTGTGCGAGTACTGCTCGCATCTTAACCTATCATAGCGAAAATCTAGTGCTCCAATCCAAAAACGGAATGTCATACTTCATGGAAGCCATCATGAACTAAAACCCCAAACAAATCAAACCATGTGCTCTTGCGGAACTGCTGAACCTAAACTCTGATACCATTTGTTGTAAAACAAACAAGATACCAGAATATTTCTGATATCACTTGTTGTGAAACAACCACCGAATTGAGATGTTGAAGTTATATGGTACAATAATAAAGTATTTAATCAAGCAAAAGAATAATAAAGACGAGAATATGGCAGATGAATTAGGAATTTTATTAAGTCAATAATAATGGAGAAGTGAGAAAATTACAATGGATCCTATAATTCTAGGAATCTATTTTCTCACACTTATAAAATTGTATAGAAGAACTTAATATTTATAGGGAACATGTAGGAGACGTCCAAACCCTCTTAGTAGAGTTGTTGATGAAGTAGAATGCCAAAAATCGAGTCCAAAACTAAATAGTAGAAGAAAACGTAGAAAACTCGAACGGCACAGGTGACGCGGCGGTGCCCACCTCGGGGCGCCACGGCTCCGGGCAATCTGCTGAATTTTTTTTTTCTCCATCAAATTTCTTCCTCAAGTCTAATACCAATTTCCAACTCCTAATGAGCTTCCAAAATAGAACTTCAACTTGACATAAGATTCTAATAGCATTCCAAACTTGAATTATACTTGACGTACACTTCAATTAGAATTTTTCACTTACTTTAATAAGGAATTCGGGTCACACCCTAATTCTAACAGGAAGAAAAAACAAAAAAAAAAAAATTTAGAGCTTGTTTGATTTTGATTCTTCGAGCACGCATTCTTTGAAAAGTGCATTTTTTTCTAAAAAAATGGGGAAGCGCGAAAATGATTTTTTTTTTAATGACGTTTGGCAAAAATAAATGTAAAGAGACGGGTGATTCTTAAATAATTAATCAAACATGCAAATATGTTGTGTTGTTAACAATTCCAAAGCAGGAAAAAACCGAGGTTGTTCTCTTCGTATTTCAATTTTTAGTTTTGAATTTTGAATTCATTTTGAATTTTGTGTTTTGAGTGTCCATTTTGAAATTGTTGAAAACATGTTCTTTTTGTCATTTTGAAAAATTGTTTACAAAAATAAAAAAAAATGAAGTTTTGGCTTGATTTTAACTGAAAACAGCCAAAAAGACTTTTTTAGCATTTTCCATTTTCTTTGTAAATTTTAAACTCGTTTTCGGAAATTCGTTTCTGAAAATAGATAAGTAAATATGTTTTCAGTGTTTTCGAAAACTGAAAATGACCGGAAAACAATAAAGAGAACAGACTTTAACTTTTACAACTTTTTTTCTTTTAACTTGAATTTTAGATGTTTGATACAATAACCGAAAGTGAAGCTTTATTACCCTTTTCACATAACATTATCTAACTCGCTTCACTAAAATCACAAAGTAAATGCTAAAAGCAGGTAGTGCATAAAATCCAATACATTATTGTTTCAATAGTTGGACATACATTTAAAATCTAAACCGCCTGATTGAGCCACATTTTTTTTGTTTTTGCTAAGAATGCATTTTGAAATAATAAATTGATGGAAAATAATTAGTAAAAAAAAATTTGGACTTACGTGTAATATTATTTTAATGAAAAAATGTGGTTGAAAAGAAGATAAAGAAAAATATATTTTAAAAATAATAAGATCAAAAAAGGCTAAGCTCATGTTTGGTACACATTAAAATTTTCATTTTCACTCTTCTACTCATTTTTAACCACACATTCTTCAATAAAATAATATTTTCCATCACATCAATAATTTTTCCCTTCAATTTTCAACCATACATACTCTATCAATCTACTATTCCAGAATACATTCTTCCAAAATAATGTGGCTCAAACACACCTTTAAATAACAACTTATCATTATGGACATTCTATTTTCTCAAACCCTCGCCAAGTAAGCAAAGGACCAAACGAAAACAAAAATGACAAAGAGGAATCTTTACTCAAAAAATCTGATATATTAAAACCCTCGAAATAACAAATGGGTTTTCCTGAAGTAGGATATTTACCCGTAAATCTGATAAATTAAACGAAATTACAGGAATGTCGTCTATACCAATATTATGAGAGCGCTTCCAAGTACTACATTTTACTCAATTCTCAACAGCAGAAAATTTAGAAATCGTTCAAATAACAAGTGGGTTTTTCAAGTGGGATATTTACTCGTAAATCTGACATACGTGTATACCAATAGTATAGGAATGCTTCCAAATACTGTAGTTTACTCATTCACACCTGCAGAAGATGTAAAATCCTTAAAATAACAAATGGGTTTTTTTTAACGAGGGCTTCCAATATGCATATCGCTCAATTCTCAGCTGCAGAAAGTTTAAACCCAAATTGTCTTCGTAGCAAAAGATACACGGAGTCACGGACACGTAATAAGCTGTATTGGAGAACGAAAACGAGTATGTGTGAGAGAAGGACCTTGGTGCGACTGAGAGCGCCAAGTTGCCAACGTTGAAATTGGGCAGCAGTCAAACGGCGGCGGCCACCGTTGTCTGAACTCTAAACTCTGCAAAGCTGATTGCAACCTGCAAGTTATAATAATTATAGCTATAAAGCTATGGTTTGGCGAAATTAGGCTGTTTGGTTAACTCCAAAAGATTTTCTTTTATAGCTTGCTAATTACCATCCAATGGACCAATTGTCATTAATTAGTTAATGTTTGGTCCCATTATTTTTTATTTTTTTCAATTTTACTCTTTCTAAATTTTAATCACATATTTTTCAAATAAAATAATATTACACACAAATATAAAATAATTTTTGACAACACAGATCACAGAAAGACAGTTGTCTTCCTATGTAAAATAGATACAACGTTCTTATACCTACAGATTTATTGTTCTTTTATAGCCGGCTAATTACCATCCAATTGTGTTTAATTAGTTCGTGTTTAGCTCTCATTAAATTTTTTTTTCATAATTTTAATCACATTCTCCAAATAAAATAACACTGCACACAAATATAAAAATTTTCATTTATTCCATTAATCACTCCAATTGTGTTTAGTAAGCATTTCGACAAGGGTGACAAAATCACTGACAAAGCTTTTTGAAATTATAAATTTGAATAAAAATCGTGAATTTAATAAAAACATATTATAAAAAAAAGTGGATAAAATCGTAATTTTAATGAAACGTGAAGTTAAAAATGAAATAATAAGTACAAAATTAAGGACCTTCCTATTTTGTAGTTTGGGCTTGGATTCCCGGCCAAAGTTATAACGTTCGAGAAAAATTGTGGCTTACATTAATTGATACGAGATCGATATTTACTTTTCAATTCCTAGCCCTTGTTTTGATGTAGATTTTTATAAAATTAAAATCGGAATTTGATCAGAACCAAACAGTGTCCTAATTTAAAAGCTGGTGAGGAAAATGAAATATTTATTGAAGATGAGATGAGAGGACTGGACATCCATAAGGCTCTTCTTACCAAAGAGAACACTCGGCTGCTTATATTTATATTACGAAAGAATTCTAATAGAAAATTCTCAAACACGTGAATGAGGATTGTGCACCATCTAATACAACGTGGAACATTATTGTGTGAACAAGATTTTCAAAATAAGAAGGATATCTATAAAATTAGGCAGATAATTTCGTGTTTTTGAGGTTGCGAAGTGAATCACTTAGTCAGAAGTCAACTTTTATTTAGTAATGGCAGATAAATTCGTGTTTTTGGAATTGCAAATTGAAGAAGCACATCACTTAGTCAGAAGTCCAATTTTATTTAGTAATTTATGTATGAAGTCAAATTTAGAGTAGTAGTCGAATAACTCTTGAAATTTAAAAACATTTGAAATCTGGATCCTCTTAGCTTATATATATTGCTAGTCTCCACTATATTGAGACATCGCCTCTTATATCTTTCTTTTCTTAGCTTAAATTATCATTGCAGGTCTCTAGGCCTGCGGTCTGGATCTCTGTAAGTTCCACAATTTAAATTTGTTTGGTTTTGTGTTTATGCTTGTTTATTGAAATATTTCATTTAATTATTTTGTATAGTGTGATTGTCATTTCTCTTACTGAATCGCTAGTTCGAACTTTAAGATGGACAGATTGCTCATTAAAGTTTAAGGAACTCTTATAAGATACTAAGAGTACAATTTAATTCGGGTGTATCTCTTAATATTATCAACCCTTTTATAGGAAAAACCTTCGGATTAATTCATGAGATTGTCCAATTTACATAAGAATTTCGTCAAAGTAGAGAAAAAATTGGAGAAATAATAGGGGTTTGTTACATCCTACACAAATAAACCTATAAGTATATATTCATCCTCTTTTTTACCTGCTACATACCTCTATATCTTCTTTAACGTACAGTTCTTTTCAGATTGGATAAGGTTTCATGTGCTTGTTGTAAACTAGTGAAGAAAATAGAGAGATTGGTTTAATATTGTGAGATTTAATTTACCAGGAAAAAAAAAACTTATTTACATTGTCACCATAAATGACAATAGGTTTGGCTGGCTTCGATATCTTCGTGGCGAGTCGAGTGATTTTTGGGCCTTCACCGGAATCTGGCACAGTTCCGGAGCTTCTTGTTCTTTCACTTGTCAAGTTCCGTAAAAGGTTTTTTTTTTTTAATATCTTTTTACATCTCTAATTATCGTTGTCATGCAAAACCTAATTTGTTTTCCTATATATATGTCTCGTACATTTATGGGATGATCCCATAACCACCATTGTCGACTAGTTACAATTCGTTACCCACCAAATATTTGGTCGGTAAAGTCTGATCTCTAACAAAAACTAAATTCCGTCTTAATAATTTGAAAAGTAACATTCGAAATTACGTCAAAAAACTTCCACATGTCACGTCATAGTGAGTGTGTGTAGATATGTATGATTATATCATTATCGTATATTTGTAAATTATTGTGGTAGAGATTGTTGTTATGATCCATCCTTAAATTCCTTCCACATTTTTTTGTTTTACACGTACATGGCTTGGAAATATTTGTTGTCACTAAGATTATTTTAGCCACTATTTCACAGACATTTTTTCACACCACATATTTCCCGTCATATCACTATTTAAAATACATTATTTTTTCAATAATATTCATCAAACACCCCCTTAAAAATGATTCACTCTGTACCCTTCGCAACATTGCTAGATATATCTTATTTCTCTCCGAAATCATTTTTTGAAAACATTATTTCTTCTTGCTAACCTCCATTTTATAAGACTGGTTCTTAACCGAGACTTCAGTTTCGTTTCGAAACCTTGTGGGATTAGGAATAAAGCATCGCAAGTTATGAGCCTGGAGAAGCATTGGAAACCTCAGTTTCTTGCATTCTCTGTAAATTGCTTCTTCAAAACTCTCTTTAGGCAAAACCCTCAGGGTGTAAACAGCATTATGATCAGTTCCATTTTTCTATTGTAGTCTTTTTTTTTTCCTTTAATCCTTGATATACAACAGTATCATGCATGAGACTCGGCAATATTTTAATTATTTATGTGTACAAGTCTTGCCTCACGAGTTTATTTGTTTGATTATATGTATCTTTTTTCCCTCTAACCGCACAAGTAGATCGACTTGTTCGGTAAGGTATCAGTATCATGAACGTAGACTTGCACTATATGTTGTTTTGATAAAAATATAAGTCAATTTTGATCAAAATCTACTAAAACTAGCAAAATCGGGGTATAACATGTTTATATGTTTTCTTGCATAGACTTTATTCTTGCCTCTCTAATTAATATTTTTTACGTTAATATGTTGTAGAAGAAGCTTCGACTCATTGCAATTGACTCGCTGAACCTCATCATGGAGAATGCACCAAAGGTTGGGAAAATTCAATTTTCGTTGCAATAAAATATGGAAGTAGAAATGTGTAAAAATCTTCCCTATTCCGTGGATGCACTTTTTTCGTGCCCTGCATGCTTTCTTGAATTGCAAGTCTTTCTCTGCAAACAACTTAATTGGTAGGGGTGTTTGGCATAATCCCCTTTCGGCTTGTTATAAACGAACAAGAAAGTACTCAATTATTCGAACTTTTTCTTTATCGGTGTATTATAAACAAACAAGAGAGTTGACAAAATTGCTATTTTTTTCTGGTTAACTTTAATTCACAGATCTATTAGTTTATGGTTTCTTTTTTAGGTACCTTTAAGTCTGGATGCCCTCAGTTTAAGAGAACTAGGTTCACGAAATACAAATGTTGTTCAGAACGAAGATAAGCAGACTAGTCACATATTCGGAGGCTGCTTCAAGAGATCGAACCCAGGAGGCTGGAGTTCAGCATTCATTTTGTTAGGTACTTGTAATTCATTTTAACTCGTTGTCTTATGACTTCATTGATAAAAAATGAAAATGAAGATTGGATTGATGATGAAATAGAATCTTAGATCGACTAAGCCCATAAAGCATCTTAGCTTCGGGATTAGGATCCCCATACTTGTATTTCCCCTCACATCTCAATAAACAAGTTGGGTGCTCTTGATGGCTCTATACGTCTTGATGTTGGGACGACCCTCTAACTAGCCTGAGTATACTCACTTCACTAGCGTAATACATTTTTCGTGGCTCTTTCCAATTGTTTGCTTTTTCACGGTGCAGCAAATCAAGCGCTTGCAACACTAGCTTTCTTTGGTGCGGGGGTCAACTTGGTTTTGTTCTTAACTCGAGTTCTTGGACAAGACAATGCCACTGCAGCAAATAATGTCAGCTTATGGACTGGAACTGTATACTTATGCTCATTTATAGGAGCATTCCTCAGTGATTCGTACTGGGGTCGATATCTGACTTGTGCAATCTTTCAAGTGATATTCGTTGTGGTAACCCATATAAATTATCTTATTATTTCTTGTATTTTTCATTTTTCTTTCAATTAATAATAAGCTAATAATTAAAAATCTGAACAGGGTCTTGTGCTTTTGTCCTTGTCATCTTGGCTATTCTTGCTCAAACCTGAGGGTTGTGGTGATAGAAAACAAATGTGTAAGCCAACTTCATCATTTGGTTCAACCATGTTCTATATTGCTATATATTTGGTAGCCTTAGGATATGGTGGACATCAACCTACTTTAGCCACCTTTGGAGCAGATCAATTCGACGAATCAGACGCAAAACAGAAGGTTTCGAAATCTGTTTTCTTCTGCTACTTCTACTTTGCACTTAACGTTGGCTCTTTATTTTCCAACACGATATTGGTTTACTTTGAGGATTCCGGCAAATGGACATTTGGGTTTTGGATGTCCACTGGCTCGGCTGTTATAGCATTACTATCCTTTTTGCTTGGTTCTGGTGGCTATCGATATCTGAAGTCTTATGGCAACCCATTGCCACGTGTTGCACAAGTGTTTGTCGCTGCGAAACGGAAATGGAATGTGAAACGTGCTAATGGAGAGGAGTTATACGAGGTGGAAGGATTGGAATCTGCCATTAAAGGAAGCAGAAAAATTCTTCACAGTAACGAATTCCGGTGAGTTAATAATTTTTTTTCGTATTACTTTAATAACATTTCTCGTGTAACTAATGATTGAATATATTTCGTGGGACTTTTACTGTGTTTTTCTTTTCATGAAAACAACTACACAGCATAAATGATCGAATTCTTGCCATAAAATTTCAGGTGTCTCGACAAGGCAGCAATAATAACAGATGATGATCGACGTGGCGGAGCAAATCCATGGAGACTTTGCACCATCACTCAAGTTGAGGAATCCAAATGTATCATAAGAATGATACCTATTTGGCTATGCACTATTATATATTCGGTGGTTTTTACTCAAATGGCGTCACTCTTCGTAGAGCAAGGGGATGTGATGGATACCCGCATCGGAAACTTTCACCTTCCAGCAGCCAGCATGTCTGCTTTCGACATCTGTAGTGTCCTCCTTTGCACGGGAATTTATCGCCAAATTCTAGTACCTCTGGCTGGCAGACTAAGTGGAAATAGTAGAGGATTAACCGAGCTCCATCGAATGGGCATTGGCCTAATTATTGGAATGCTAGCCATGATTGCAGCTGGTATAACTGAGATCGAGAGACTCAAAAGGGTTGTCCCTAATAAACGCTCGAGCTCTTTAAGCGTATTCTGGCAAATTCCTCAGTACATGCTTGTTGGTGCATCCGAGGTTTTCATGTATGTAGGACAGCTCGAGTTTTTTAATGGGCAAGCACCCGATGGGATAAAGAGTTTTGGCAGCTCTCTTTGTATGGCTTCAATTTCTCTTGGTAATTATGTTAGTAGCATGCTTGTGCACATGGTGACGGAAATTACGACAAAAGGAAGACGACCGGGGTGGATTCCGGAGAACTTAAACAATGGCCACATGGACAGATTTTACTTTCTCATTGCAGCTTTAACTGCCATTGATTTCTTGATTTATGTATTGTGCGCTAAATGGTACAAATGCATCAATCTTGATGAGGAGGATACGGTTGCACAGCCAAAGAATAGTGTCATCGTAACTCCAGATGGAGGATCGGGACAACAAGAGGAAGAAATGCTTAATAGAGTTTGAGGAATTCATTGAAATCTCATTTTCCTGTACTGCAAACAAGTTTATGATGTCTTTTTCTTTAGAATAATGCTGTTAAACCTCTCCCCTGATATTTAGCGCCCATCTACGCGATTATATGACCATTATCCAATACATAAAAATACATTATGAATTTATTGGATAATATGTATGTTAATAATCTTATTACCATATAAATCGATGCTAAGAGCCACTAGAACTGATAGCATTACTATTTTCTTTAATAATAACTAGGAAGCACGTGCAAGTCACGTGCCATGATATAGTTGACTACATAATAATGTATGTATAAAAAAAATATTTATGTCAATCATTAGTTACATAAAATTTTCTTATATAAGTTGCTAAATGTTTTGAGGTAACAATGGAATGCGCGGTTCATATGAACAGTAAAAGAAGATCTATTCCTAAAAAAATGAACATGCATGTACTGTTCATACGAACAGTACAAATAAAAACCAAAGTGAAAAACAAACTCACTCTTAAAAAAAAGAAAAAAATATCATCTCTCTGTGCTGCATGAAAAGAAAAATGGAGAGATATCTCTCCCTCCATGCAGAATGGAGAGATATCTCTCCTATTTTGAGAATCCATGACACATTGTTTTTTTTTTACTTATATGTTTTCATGTTTTATTCAACCAATATAAACATGCCACTATTTTACTTTCGCTTTTTCACACGCAAACGTAAAGTACAAAAAGTCAAATGACAGTAAATTAACTATTTTGAGAATCCATGCCACATGGTTTTTTTTTTTTTTTTTGACTTATATTTTTTATTCAACCAATGTCAACATGCCACTATTTTACTTTCGCATTTTCATACGCAAACGTAAAGTACAAAAAAGTCAAATGAAAGTGAATTATCATCATTTCTTGGACCAAAAAAAGAGGGAAAAGATAGTTTAGAATATAGAAATGGCTCGGCGAACACGGCTCAACCACTTTGGTTTGGCTTAACATGGCCATACGGCTTATAAATAGTGAAAACCAAACAGAATGGAGAGATTTCTCCATTCTGCATGGAGAGATCTTCATTCTCTAGAATCTACCTGAGGTCAGATACTACATGTCTTTGACTCAGCATACCCAATTCAATTGCAGCTATTGAACATGTTCTCTCATCCGAGATTAAACTTTCATTTTGAAGGAACCTGCCACGAAGTAATGCATGCAAGAGACGTACGTATGAAATTAATGTGGGTGAAAGAGTTTTTCTATTATAGATTTAACAATGACTGAATCCCTAACATTATATGCAGATCCATAAAATTAGCTTCAATGGAAATGCATAAAATTAGATAATTGTGCTATAAGAAACAACAATTATATGAAAAAAAAATCGTAAATTTGCTTTATAGACACTGTCAATCGAGCCCAGGAGAACTTGATCAAGAAGAGTTATGTTACAAGACAATATATTAATAGATGTAAATGCTCACATCAATGTAAGGGGTCATACCTGAATGCGATTGCGATGAGCAAATTCTGCCATTGGCCTCTATTTGGACAAAAACATTGTTACAACCCAAACAAGACAATTATAGAATCTGTAGAAACATATACACAGACGTTCATACAGACAAAAATATTGCTACAACCCAAACAAGACAATTACAGAATCTGTAGAAACATATACACAGACGTTCATACATAAACATAAGATTAGATGATTGATTCACAAAAAACTCATAAAAAATCAACACAAACAATCTGACAAAGAGAGGTGAATATATAATGAAAATGGTACATTTTCACACCTAATATACAGCAGCCCAATAATTAACCTCCAATCTAGAACTGTACAGATACAGAGCAAGAGATAAAATTTAAACCAAAGAGAAAGGTGAGTGAGAAAAATGAAAATGGAAACGGCGGTGGAACTGTTGTGAGCGCTTCACTCGAAGAAAGAGAAAGGAAAGAAAAAGAGAAGCGAATGGAAAGATGAAGAAAGAGAAAATGAAATGAAAATGGAAGAAATGACGAAGACAGAGAAAGGAAAGAAAAAGAGAAGAGAATGGAATGGAATGGAAAGATGAAGAAAGAGAAAATGAAATGAAAACGAAAGAAATGGCGAAGTTGAAGACGAAAAGATAGCTCTCTGACAAATACAGTTTCGTTTCTCACGCAAACATCTAAAGTACAAAAAAAAAATCAAAACAAATCATAATCGTTTCTTGGAAAAGAGAAATAATAAAGAATCAAACAAACAAAATAAATGCAACTCTAGGCTGAGTATAGAAACTGAATAAAAATAAAATTGAGAGAAATTGGTATGAATATGGGGGTTGAGGGTGGTGTAGGAAAGAAAAATTAACGATTATGATTTTACGTTTAATAATTTAAGATAATGTTTATAATCGACACTATATTTATTATTATCACATTTTAAGTTTTTTTAAAACAAATTTAAATAGATCCAAATGGATATTCATATCGTGACATATCGAATCAAACGAAAAATTGTAGGAAAATAAAGTTATTAAAATGAGGTTGTAATTGAAAAGAAACATAAACAATCACAACTTTACGTTTAACAATTAATGTAAAAAAAATTTTGATATTTAAAATTTATCGATCATATATTTATCATGGAAGCATTTCAACATTTTCAAAAAAATTTAAAGCGCTTGAAACGAATATATGTAACTTAAAATACTGAATCAAGCGTTTAAAAAAAAAAAAAATTTCTGAACTTGGTCCGTTCAGTCAAAGAAAAAAAAAACGGCTTACTCGAGTCGAGCCAAAAAGCCATTCGGCTCGGCTCGCGGCTTATGAATAGTAAAAAATAAAAATGGAGGTCCGTTCAATCAAAGGGCAAAAAAAAAGAAAAAAATGGGCTTAGACGGCTTAGTCGAGCCGAGCCGAGCCAAAAAGCCTTTCGGCTCAGCTCGCGACTTATGAACAGTAAAAATGAAAATAACTCGTAGTGATAATATTATCTGGTAATATATAGTTGAGTTAGCAAACAAGTTAAGGGTAGTTGCTAAATTTGATTTTCGTTGTCTCCTCGTCTTCCTCGCGCATTAATTAAATGGGTTGAGCATAATCACTTGCTGCATGTATACAAAATAAGAAAGAAGAATGAGAGTTGGCTTAACTTCTAAGCAAATGTCTCACATTTAAGGTTAGGAAATTTATTTTTGAATAGTTTTACTATTCAAAAATTTCAAGTCAAATTTTTCCTTATGATTGATGATAATCAAGCACCCGTTTGGCTCCAATTATTCCCCATTAAATTATAATTCATTTTCTTACTCTTCTTTTCAACCACATATTTTTCAATAAAATAATATTATACGTAAATTAAAAAAAATTAACCACACATTCTTCAAAAATTATTATTCCACTCATTATAATGGGGAATAATGAGGCCAAACAAGCGCTAAAATCACATATTTTATCAACAAAAACAATAATTATTTCTAGCTTAAGGTTTTTTCTGTATTACTTTTTGTTGTTTTCTGATGTAATTTAGAGTTAATTTTTATTTTTGTTTTTTGTGTGGGATTCCTGTTTGGGTGAACAATTTAGTCGATTTATGTGCTCTAGATGTGCTGAAGAATCTTGGTTTATATGCCTAGTTCTTCTTTGTTTTGATTTAGGTAGATGTAGTTGTTTCTTCTTGTCATGTAGTTGTTTGAAGTTTTTCCGAATGAGTGCTACTCAATGTAGTTTTGGAGATTATTAATGATATAAGACGGTATTAACATTTTTCCTCGATGGTCGCTACTTAGCGCACGTCCCCCCAAGACGTCGACCCCCCGGGAGTCCTTTACTCTCACAGGGGCCTCTACCACTATAAGGCTCGATGGACGCTACTTAACGCACGCCCCTCCAAGACGTCTACCCCCCCGGGGTCCTCTACGCTCACATGGGCCGTCGACCACTATGAGGCCTACGACGTCGCCCCCCACTATACTTAGCCAAACAAATGGTCGTGAGATAAACGAAAATCACCCAACAGCAAACATGACCATGACCAACCGCAATACAAGTGGGGGTCAATGCTATAGAACGGGGGGGAGTGGGAAGGCATACGTGGGACACGTGGCACAGTTAATCGTGGAGCAGGGGGGCGTGCCATCAAGTGCCAATAAATACCCCAATGTGGGGAAATGTATTTTTTTCTTCTGAAAAACTCGAACTTATTGAATGCTCATATACTCTCTGTTTACTCCCTAAAATCGACTACTGATTCTCACGCCGGAGGTACAACGGGGGACAAAGCCCCGACCTCATTTTGCAGGTAACATTCGTTGATTTGAGCAACCGGAACACCCCACACGTCAACGTCACCGTGGAGGTAAATTTTGTGATTATTTCAATTAACAACGAAAGAACTACAGCAAAGACGTAAGACAAGAGAAACATGGAATGTGCGTAAAAAGGAACTGTACGGAAGGGCTGCGTAATTGCGTGAAAGGCAATGAAAAGAAAGGCCTTCGGACAACAATTATGTTGTTTTGGAGATAGGTTGTTTTTAAAAAAAGATTAACCGCATTCTTAACGGTCCCCACCTGTCATGCCCTGCTCTGCTCTGGATCTTGATGAAAAAGGTAAATCGCAGGTTATGCTTCCAAGAGTATAAGGTGGAAGACTGCTTGTACACTTACATTTATCCAAGGGCCAAATCCATATTTTAGGATTCGAACCCTTGACGCGGCAGTCTCAAGTAAAGTTGGAGTTTTTTCACCTTCCCCTTTTACCACTCGGAGATGTGCCCTGGGGGCTAGGTTGTTTTTAACTTGCATACAGGGACGGAGTCAGAAAGATACGTTATGGTGTGCTGAAATTTTTTTTTTCAATGAACTCATACCATAAAAGATGCTCTATACCACTCGAATTTTTTTTTCAATGAACTGCAGTATCCTCTTCACCTTCAACCAAATGTGTACTTGTGGCAGATTCACCTACTTTTTTAAAGAAGGAGAACAATTCAAAATTCAAATTTTAAGTTTATAAAATACAAAAATTAGGT